AAATCTTTTTTGATGCTACAAAGGAATGTAGCGGAGTTTATTACCTTACATCTTCACTTGTTTTACATCATTTTTTTTACATTTCACAAACATTTCATAATTACAAGAATTTGCCAGTTTTTTCTGACGTAGTCTACTCTATGGAGTTAAAATTTCATAAATATTGGGAAGAGTTGCGATCTTTATTTATTTTAACTTCAGTAATGAACCATCGACTTAATTTGACAGGTACAAAAGCCAATGTAAAGGGGATTTCAAATTTCATGTTTCATGATGTGAAATTATCACATTTTTATATAGAATATATGTTATGTGAAATATATAATTTTTATGCTGAAAAAGAAGGTTAGTGTAGTTATGCTTTCCAAAGTTCTTTTTCAAGAAATATTCAACAAATTCAAAGGATTTAGGAAATTATTTGGAAAGCAATACAAGTATTCCCTTATTTAGGTCTAATTCATCAATATCTAAAGCGATAAATATCGGTGGTACAAATCTTGAAATTCCCTCTAAGTTAGCTAAGTATATGTTTGTGGACGTTCGTAATGTGTTACCTCCAAAAGAATTACAGGAATTTAGTCTTCTAAATTAGTGGAGGTGTAATGAAAGACAATATTCAATTGTATAAAAAATTACACGTGATCTACTAACACCTCCGATGTCTACCGTAGCATCGGAGGCTGCATTCAATTTAGGTAATCGAATTTTATCAGACGAACGTTCAAGACTAAAAGAAGATATATTGGGAGTTTTAATATGCTTGAAGGATTGGATATTTGTGAAATTACATATTCAAGAACATGTTGACAGTATAAAAGCTGAAGAGTTGTACAAATCCAAACATAGAATATTGTGAGTTTTTAAAATAATTTGTTTCAAAAAAAATATGTAATTTTTAAATTTATTTGTTTCAAAAAAAATTGTACACGAAATATTTTATTCGTGTACAATTTTAACTCCGTCTATGTCATGTGATTAATCGGTCTCAAGCCCAGAAAAAGAAAGAGGGTTGTAAGTTGTAACTTTTATTTAATTTGTAATTCGTATAAATTATGCAATTTTGTAAGTTGTAATTTTTATTTAATTTGTAATTCGTATAAATTATGCAATTCTTAAATTCTTTATAAAAAAATGTTAAATTTGTAATCTTGTTGCTTAAAAAAAATAAATAAATAAATAAAAATAAATAAATAAAATTAATTGAAACAAAATTGAGCCGGCCCGACTCGGCTCGCTAAGGGCCAAGCCCTTTTTTTTGGTCGAGCTTTTGCTCGGCTTGGCTCGAGCTCGAAAAATGCTCATTTGATTTTGCTCGAGCCTAGCCCAAACCTTGAGTTTCGACTCGCGAACCAGCTCGTCTCGTTGACATCTCGACTTGTGTGTGATCATTGTGACGAATACTTAAAGAGGAAGTATGTTCACATCCATAACGGTGAACTACAAATTAATCATATTTGTCAAACTTCATTCCTCGCAAATGTCATTGCAACTATCATCTACATAAATAATTGTACAGGCAAAATCTCTTTGAATTCAAGTTATGTTTCAAAGCAACCAATTGCACAGCTTCCCTGAAGATCTTTCTTAGTATCAAATAATTGGTCAACTTTCTTCATCGTCTGAAATCACACGTGATGTATGAAAAGATCGTAAACAAGGTCTAGTCTGAATTTTCACATGATTCATATCCACGTATAGATAAAAGTGACGAGATCCTCGTTTGTAAATGCAATTTTCTCCTCATTATCATGAATTATCTTGAATTGGGGTGAATACAAACAAGTTATGACAAATTTTCAAACCAAACCACTTAAAACTGTTTGAAATTTTTCTATGACGAATCAAATCTCTTCACCTTTTAAACCAAATCAAGCCAAGCCCTTTTTTCAATTTAGTTTGATTTAAGACCACAATTTAGAAAAAAAAAACATATATCAAACAAGTTAAATTATTAATATTAGTTTAACATATCAAGCAAAACATAAATATTATTATCATTACAAATATTATAAACGAAAGTAAACGAAATGATAGAAACAATTGTAATTGGTAACATATTCAGTTTTAACACTTGATTCATTCTCTGCATAAAAATAAGAATATATCAATTGTATTCATTAGTTATAATTAAATGGTATAAATTAACTAATAAAAAAATGAATAGTACTACACAATAAATTCTTTGTGTATTTACCGTCTCGACCATCTTTGCACTCAATGAACTTCTAAAAGAATCAAACTAGTAGAGAACGTTGACTAGAAGCAACTATGGATATTTGAATGGTTAACACATCTCCGATAATTTGGAATATAATCTTGTACTTATTTAGATTCAATTTCCACCAAAGTTATATGTTGAGAAACTCATGGATCAAATCTTCACAACAATCATTAAAAAAATCCACTAAATCATTTTGATTGGGATGTGTTTAGTTTTAATTATGTTGGATAAAATTTATTTTATTTTATTTTCAGATTTATTTTTGTAAGCAATGTGACAGTTTAAAACGATATGTAAAAATTGACGCCTAAACCAAACTATTTCGAAATGGTTTAGTTCAATTCAAAATCAAAACATTGACAGATTTACGTTGACCTAAATCAACGATTTTGAAAAAGTAATTTGGTTGGATTTTACAATATGACGATTTCGTTGTTCAGTTCTAATCTCAGGGTCTATGTGCAGCATTTGTTTATGGAATAACTACATTATCCTCTCAAGCTATTCACACCATGTCTCAAAAATCATCCACATTAAAAGAAGGGGCATTTGCAAAAATATCTAATTTTATATATGTCAATTCAAAAATGTCCATTTTTGATATTCTTTATAAAAATGGCCAAATTTGATACCAAAATTTCTATTCCCCCTTAATAAAAGAATAAATAATTTCATATTGCACAAGTCAAATCACAATTAATGTTAGATACAGAAATGTCGAGAACAATATTTAAAGTGTAGAAAAATGTCATATTCGGAATGAAATATCTTTCTAGACATTTAATATGTCGAGAACAACGTTTGAAATGTCGAGAACATTTAATATTGTGATTTAACATGTGTACCTTTGAAATATAAACGGATTCAAATATCGAGAACGGCATTTGAAATGTTGAGAACATTATTTTAATGTAACTTCTCATGAAAGCTATTTAGGGGCACTCTCGCCCAAATAATTATAAAAATAGACATTGAAAAATTTTGGACATTTTTGTAAATGACTATATCAAAATGGACATTATTTGTAATTTCCTATTAGGAAGAATGAAGCCTTTGGTTGAGGTCACATGCTTCATGAACCTCAAAAATATCATTGCTTACAAGAGTTGCATGATATGTTAAGATTTGGGGTTCAGGGGTCCATCTTAATAATGTCAATCTTATTAAGAGGAGTGACCCATGATCTATTTAAATTGATCAATATTTTAGTATTTAATCGATGTGAGATTTATTCCCTTAACATGTCCTCGTAAGATTGTGGCTCTTTTTGAGCAGATCAATTTTGAAATTCGTGTGCTTATTTTTTAAATTTAATCGAATCGAATAGTTCGTTAGAGTTTACTGGACTTTGATACCATGTTAAGATTTGAGGTCCATCTTAATAAGGTCTACCTTATTAAGAGGATGACCCAAGATCTATTTAAGTTAATAATATTTTGATATTTAACCGATGTGAAATTTATTCACTTAACACGATAAAAAAGAATGATTCTTTTGATTGATTTCAATCAATAACTTCAATTCCATATCTAAAATAATCTTTGTCGGTGGCATTGAAAACTGTGTGTTTGTTTGGAAAAATAATCTGAACTCCATCTCATGGTCAAAAGAATCAACACTAAGGATGTTTTGTACATCACTATACACGTTAGTATACAATGAAAAGAAAAAAATCGTTGATTTTAAAATTTGAATTGGGCTTACTATGATATTTTTTCTTTTTTTCTTTTTTTTTTTTGCA